TTACCTTTCGACCGCTGCGTGTATTTTTCCTAGAAAAAAAAAAAAAAATTGACATTTAATAATTGACAATTACGAAAAAAAAAAAGAGAAGGGAAAAAAATTTATGGAAACTAGCAACGCGATATTCGATTTACGAGCATCGATAATCGGCCTTGTATCGGGTTATTGTTTCGCGCACGGCGGAATTTTATTCAATCAGCCTTGGATAAAGTGACACGGGGCGCGCGCCGTTCGCCGTCGCACTAACGCGTTTACCGTCGGGCACAATTATTCATTAAAATAACATGTCGACCTGTTATGCGAGCAGATTTTTAGCAGGTTATAAAATTTGATTTTATCACGACCATTACGTCGTGAAAATAAAACTGTCGTCCCGCGAAGCGAGGAGATTGGGAGGGGGGAAGGGGAGAAGGGGGGAGGGGACGTTCTCGGTAAATTGCAGCCGTAAACACGGTGTATCGGGGAATATGTAACCAATTTCCCGTTAGCTTCGCAACATTTAATCGGCTTCGTACCACTGTGTATGGTCGACATATTTGACGCGTTTGTCGCGGCAAACGGCTTGGCTGCCTTCTGCCTGTTTTTCCATCGCGACAAACACACGCGAAACAAAACACGCGAACAAGGGATCAAAGAAATGCTACGTACGAGCGTATCAATCGAATCAATTATGCGAAACGCGACGTGAATTCGATAACTGTGCGTCGTGTAAATAAAACAGGAGAACGCCTCTCTTTGGATCGTCTCTGTTCTATTGCAAGGCTCTCGAACGGTTATACTCGTCATTTAATTTCTCTCGGCATTTTTTCTCGCTTGCGTCGATGCAAACGCTCGGCTTTTGCACCTCGCTCCCCCGTGCCATCGTTTCCATTTTTTCTTTTATTCGCACACTCGCCGCTGAAGCAACGAAGATGCCCGGCTGTTGGTTCGCATGGAAAGAAAACCGGTCGTATTTCCACGGCGGAAGGTGGTTCCATTAATATCTATTAGCAAGCCGTACTTCACGTTATTTGGATTTGTTCTTTCCACCGTTATCCGCGGTGTTTGTTCCTTCCATAGCGCGATCGGAAAATCGAAAGTAAAGAGGGTCCCAGCTGGAAGGTCTGGAAGGGGATTCGGTCGTATCCGTTGAAATATGAGGAATCGTTTGTTCTCATTAAGCAACAGAGCAGGAGGATTGAAATGGCGATACGTCTCTGCCACCCGCCGAGCCGATACGTTTCCTGAATTATCGATCGACATCCACTTCGGCTGAAATCGGTGAAATCTTCATGCTTCGCGGAACGTCTTCTTAAATGTTAATGCGTCAAGGGGACGCGGTTCTTTCGATTCGCGGTTATTCCGAGTGCGAGAACAATCGGGCCATTAAATTTCACGGTTAATACTGTCGCTTCGATTAGACCGGATGGCGAAATGTCGGACGAGCGACAGTGTGAAAAATGCCGGCGGCCGTTGTGAAACAAAAGAACTTGAAATACAGAGAGTTGCGTGAATTTTGATTTTTCGAAGGCTATATTTTACAGAAATCGCGCGAAAGCTCCGCGTATCTTTCTTGGAATAATGACAGATTTTTTTTCCCCCGCGACTACTGAAGCGCACTCGTATAATAACTTCGGTGAATTTATTGAACGGCGTGTTTCAAAAGAAATTTATTTCCTCGAGCACTGTGCGCGCTCGCTAGGCCCGTCGCTCTCGATGAAATATACACCGAAAATGCGCCATTCATTTTTTGAATGCTATTTATTTTATCAATCGACTTTCCTATAATTAACCGACTTTTTCACGTCTCTTTGGCTTAATGCAACGCATTTGACTCGTCGATCAAGTCTATTTGTCTTCGTTGGCACGTGGGGTGGCCGCACGTGCGCGTAATTCAGCACGGTGAAAACGCGTGTACGAGGCGGTTCGCGCGCGGGCCAGAAAAATGCTGGAAACTCGTAAAACGCGTACGAATTCAAAGAGCTCGTAATTAGTCGACGGGGAACACGTGTCGGTCATGGTAAAACAATCGTGGCCTCACCCTTTGCCACCTTTCCTACTCTCTTCCTCTCTCACTCCTCTCGCCCCCTTTTTTTCATTCATTCGTCGCTTTTGTCGAGGCTCGCGCGAGCGCTAGGCTCGAATTTCTTCTTTTTTTTTTTTTTTTTTTTTCCGCCGAAAAACGTCAGGACGCCGCGTTCGTCAACGAAAAAAAAGAAAAAAAAAAAAACGACGCGCGATAGTATAAAGTTGATGGCGAGCTGGTATCTCGCGGGCGACGTGACGCGTTCGAATCGCATCCAGGCTGAATTAAATATTGACTGCGAAAAGAATTACGCATTACGCGATCGGGTGAACGTGTTTTCGAGCTTGGCCGTTCGATTTTCGGTAAATCGGATTTTCCTTCCCCCACCCCGATCCCGTCGTTCCTTTCAGCCGTCGGCATCGATTCGAGAGCGTGCAGTTGATTTGAAAAATTAACGCCGCGCGATCGACGTAACCGCACGCGCAAATATTTTAATCAAACAAAAAGCCGGTCTGCGTTGAAATCGAGCAATTGTTTGTTCAAAAAAATATTTAACGAAGTGTTTACCGAACCGGGCGTGTCGATGTCTGCTCTAACCGACTTTGTTAATAATCGAATGAAATAGATAGAGAGGAGGCAACGGAGAACGATCGATCTCGATCTGCGCGCCCGATGACAATCGGAAATTGGCGAAACTTTGGCCGGCATAGGATATTATCTACACTTCTGTCCTCGTTCCCGGCCCGCTCTTTCTATTTTCAAACGTCACTTCTTTGACGTTCGTCCCCCCTCCCACGGCGTGAATTTAATCGCAAATGAGATATCACGTTTTCATTAACTTGTCTGTAAAAGGCAAGCAGAGAATTCAGCCAGCTCGATGGTTGTTTTCGTTTCGCCAACAAATGCCCCCTAATTGGTAATTGGCGATTGGTAATATTTTCCCAATTATTCGTTTTACGTCTACCCATCGGGGAAAAAACAGTTGAAAGGAAATCGATCCGCGCGATCCAACCGTTCATTCTGCGTGTCCATTTTATTTGATTCTAATGTCGTGCGGCAAGTATCGAATATCGTTGCTCGGGCGACGCGGTTAAACGATGTACAGAGACATAATACCGTTTCACCGTAATTAAAACATCGCGGTTTAATTCACGGTTTCGATGTTTCTCCAGGAAGGAACGGTTCTCATTCCGCAAACGTCGGTGTGTTTGAGATTCGCGACCCGCTTGCCGCGAGGATCTTGCGGCTCTCAATTTCGCGGGCGTGCCTATCGTGCAGTTGCATCTCTTAAACTTATTTAAGTTTCGCCGTATTTTATGCGCGGGGACGGACGATACTCCGAAGAATATGAGAACGAACCGCTCGAAATGAAATCGTTACGTACGTACGTATATCTTTGCTATCGCGCCGGTCTCGCCGTCGAATCCTGCATAATCCACCAAAGTGTTTTGGCTCGGCGAGTTCTGCGAACAGCTCGGAGAACGATCAAGGAAAAAAAAGGACCGAGAGTAAAATTTGTACTCTGCAAGCGTTTCAAACGATGATTCGTTCGTGCGTGAATAGCATTTCCGAAGAGTTTCCCAACTTTTCGACGTTTCGGTCGTCTGATCCCGGCTCTTCGGGTTTCCATTCTACGAACAAGTTGATTACGATACGCCGCTAATATTAAACGATTCTCTACTTATTCCGTTATCCATGGTTGTATTTCCTTTTTATCTTATCGTAAAAAGCTTATGACGTGATAAAAGTAAGATTGCATGATAAAGGGCGAGCCGAGTCGCATAAAAAGCAGATGAAATAAAAGCAGAATGTAACCGAGATAGAAATTTGGATGCTAGAAATTGCTCTTTGAATGAAACGAGAGGTGCCTAGGAGATCAGTAGAATAGTCACGGCTCATTACTGGTCAGACTACCGTGACGTAATGCTGCCTTGCATAATCCTATGCATACTCCCGCCTACACCTCTCAAAATGTAGTCTACGTTGATTCTCTACAGCGTGGAACGAAATTTTCCTTTTTTTTTCGGCAATATTTTAAATTCCCATGGTCGCCTTTAAATTTTTCAATTTTTTTAATTGTTAACGGTTCGCGTTGTTCAAACGTTTAAAGTTTAACGGTCATTCGTAAAGTGTTTTAAAGTTTAACTTCAGTTTTGAATTTTGGATTTGTATCAATTATTTTTCAATTAAATTCGGCGAGTATTGTTTCCAAGATTCAAAAAAATGTATCGTTGCGAGGTTGCCGTACTGAAAGATGCACTTAGCAGGATCAGAGTATACTATTGTTTCTTCGAGCGAAGAAGATACAAGCCGGTTTCGTTACCTCGTAGGTACACGACTCCCGATCGAAATTTCGTTCTGTATCGTGTGCTGTTTTAGCTGATTTATCGGTGAGTTGCTTTCGTCGCTGTTAACTCGATATCGGTTTTCTCCCTTTTTTTCTCACAGGACCATGCCTGCATGCCCATCTACTTTTGCGTATGTGTGTGTGTATGTGTGTGTGTCCCGTGTGTTATCCCTTCCGGCCAATTCAACGAGGCTCTCGATCACCAGTAACGTTTATCCTCGATGCTCAGCCTTCACCTCGTGCGCCACTGTTTCTCCCCCGTTTCGTCCTTTTTTCTTTCTCTATTTCGCCCCCTTTTCCCTACCCTTTCGATTGCCTTTGGAACGTCACATCCTGTGACAGACCCTCGTCACTTGCTGTCTGTAGCCAATTGCAGAGGACAGGATCCCGGGTGACTGACCTTTTGGAAGTTTGTCGTTTCGAAAAAAGCGAGCAACGAACAAACGGGGGGCGAGTCGCCAGGCGAATGGATTGTCCGGAATTCGTTCGTTCGTTCGTTCGTTCGTTGGTTCGTTCGTTCGTTCGTTCGTTCGCTCGCTCGCTCGCTCGCTCGCTCGCTAGCTCGCTTGCCTGTGGGGATCATTGAATCATTTGTTTTCATGTTTTTCTTTCTACCTTTTTTTTTTTTTATTTTTTGATCTGTTGCAGATTCCACGGTGCCCGTAGGCCTGTGCCTGCTGATCGAAAAAGGACTGTCGGTGGTGAGTAACCCTTTTAATATCGCCAGTAACCGAGCCACTCTTTTT